CCTAGTTTCGTGCTTTCGTTGAACGAAAAGGACCGGAAAGAAGTGGAATTTCAGTGGAGCACCGAGCGAATCTAAAGGTCTGTTCGCCGACGTGTGTAGATTCGATACCAGACCCAATCCCGCGATACGGTTCCGCGTTTAATCACTATCGTCATCGATGACGTGGATTCCCTCGTCGAATTAATCTCTCCGGTCGTCGTGGCTAGCGTTAAATGCCGCCCTAATCAAAGAATCGACGTCACCGACGCTCTAATCTCCGAATCACCGTCATCGTCGCGCCCCATACTTCGAGATTTCAGCCACGTTTACACACGCGCGATTCTCCTCGATCGCGCGATCACCCCGACTATTTGGAATTTCGCGAGATCGTCGATTCTGCCTCGCGAATCGAGGATCGCCGAAGCTTCTGGAAGCGAATCAACGTCTAATCTCGAGGCGTGTATTTCTGACGAGTCGCGCGCTCTATCGCGGGCACGTGGGTGGCGTGCATGGAAATCGCGAAGAGTTACGCAAAAGCCGTGCCAGGGAGAACCAGGTTCCCGGGAAATTTGGCAAACGCGACCAGCGGCTGGCCAAGATCGACGAACTTACTCGAACGCGTTAACGCCATCCGTTTGAACGAAAACGAGTGGACAGGTTCGGCCATTAAGCGATCCGTTGCCACACGACGGAGGGAGGATCTAGATTCTGTTCCTCGAGAGTTCATTGTCGTCCGCGGATATGGGTCACAGGCTGAAAGTGGAATGCAGCTTGACAGACGGTTAGCGATTTCGCGTACACCGACCACTCTGATGAGGGAAATGGGCTGTGGGAGGCGAGATGCTCGACGTTTCGAGGGACTAGGCACGATCGTTGCGATCGATTAACGTGCCACAGAGCGTAGAAGCAGGAAGACGAGGAACGCTGGGGAACGTGGAGATGGAAGGGGTACCGAGGGGCACCGAGGGGTACCGTGATCGGTTCGGCGAATTTGATTTTTCCCGGTGAAAACGGGACGCTTTTCGGCCGGCGGGGATAACGCGAGGCGGGTAAAAATTCCGGCTCGCGGAGGATTTACAGTTTCGAGAGGATGGAAAGAGCCGAAGAGGGAAAGACGGAGGGCGTATAAACACTTAACATCGCGCGGAACGCCAATGAGCCGAACGCCCGAGAGAAGAAGGTGACTCGTTCCCTTTTACCCGCCCACCGTAGGTTCGTGCATGATGTACGATTTCCTGTCTTACGGGTCGTACAATAATAACGAAATGTCAGGAGTGTACGTACGATTTACTCCGCGTTACCATACAAAGCCACGACACTTTAAACAATGATCTATGAAAGCTGCTGCCCGCTCGTCTCTCCCCGCCTGGCCGATGCAAAAAATCTCCTATCCCATTGGCTACCTGCGAACTCCCTGGGAAATCGCGAATGGAATCGCGAGCCGACCGTTCGAAAACTCGCGGAATTTATTCCGGGAACGAACAACGAGAATGCTATGACTCGCCCGCGGAGACCTCCTCGCGATTTCTCATTTACTCGTCCGCGTAGCATGAATGGTAAAAGTTGAATGAAATCGATGGTGTAACGACGCTGGTAAGCGGTTCGTACCGCGTGGGCAGATTCCATGGCGAAAATTCTAGAACTCCGAGAAGACTGTACAGAAACGATTCGATCGATCCACGGCCACCTCTGTTACCCCCCTCGCGATCGTGTGATTAAGGGATCGCGAGCAGGGTGGGATCCGGGGAAGAGAGAAACGCGAAACTCGAACGAACCACCTGTTAACATCTCCGAGAGTTTCCAGTCTGGCTCTCGCGAAACTCTAAAATGGGTAGGCAAACGACCAAGCACCGAAAATGTTTCGAGGGTAGATGACAAAGGTTTGTGGTAGAATTTGAGGGACACTCGACCAGTTTAAAAGGATTCTCGTGTGTGTTACACCGAAAGCTCCATGTAGGGACGAATAATTCCATTTATGTACGAGGGAAAGGTTAGGCGTGGTCCGACAACAACAGTCCACCGTTCCTCTAATCGTTTCCTCTCGGAGGGGGATCGTTCGGGCTTCTAATCTTTCTTTTCGTACGAATTCAGGCCAGCGGCGTCGACCCTCGGGTTTACCAGAGTCACGAGGCGTAAACTATGCTCGAGTGTCCCGAATTGCCCCTAAAACGCGTCATTGGACACCTATTTGTTACCTATCTCCCGAGTCTTTCCCGTTTCACTCAAAGTCGACGATTTGAAAAGAAAATGGCGAAGGACTGTAGTCGATCGGAGGAAGTTTCGAAAGCGGAATAGGAAGAGAGCTCGAGAAATGCCGCAACGGGGATTTATTTTCGCTTTTAAATTGAAAGGCAAATCACGATTTGCAGCCCCTTTTTCCCTCTACCGCCTAGTCAGTCGCTCGCCATTGTCTTTCAGCCGCTGCTGCGCTCACGCCCGAGCTCGTTTCGCTGGCTTTTTACGCCACTGACGATCGAGCCTCTTTCATTAATCGTCACGGTCGGGATCCTTAATGACATTACGGCGCGTCGGAAGATCGAAGACCGCGTTGCCTGACCTCTTTTCTCCTATCTCTCGCATCAACCCCTAATGCGTGCACGCGTATGTCGGTCACTCCACCTAAAAGTCCTCCGCGTTCTCGAATTTCTCACACACGTGTTTTCCTAGCTTTCAGAATCCTAGGAATTTTGCTATTTTCGCGTGCCCCCTTTTCCATCGCTGAATTTTTTTATTATTCCATTTTCGCGGCCTCGTTGCGTTGGTTTTCGGGGTTAGGTTTATAATGGTCCGCGTAATAATTTGGTGGTAGAAGTGTCCATTAATTTTATAAGGTGGATCCTGGCCACGGCAGAGATATCACACACAGCAGGCCCAGAAATTGCGTGGACTCTGGACAGCAAGGGTAACACCAAAGGTCCGAAGAAAAAGCTCCAGGCGCGAAACTGGGATTAGTGTCCCGGAAAAATTGTTTGTCACCCATCTTCCCGCGGATCCCGACGAGGGGTATTTAACTTGGAATAACATCAGGTTTTTGGCAAACGCCGCACGGTCGATTCCAAAGCGAGGTTGATTTTCTTCAACGACGCATGTAAAGGTGATCGCCTGTATCATTCTTACGGACTTTTTATCCTTCCATTCATGCGTGACACGTAGCGAGCGCTACATATGTCGCGTGACCCGATTTCCCTAATATCGACGCGATAATTGATAAATCGACGAGAAACGATCAATCAGTCGTCGTCGAGGATATTTTATTTCGAGCAAACACCGCAATTTCGTGCTCGAATTCGAGGACTCGGTTAGGTATTATACCCAACGCGAGTGCTTATAAATGAAAATACTCCATCTGGTCGTCGTGCACAGAGGTTGGAGTATCGATAGGTTTCTTTCAGAGCAACAGTTCTCTATTCGACCAAGCATCTCGAGCACTGTCGTATTTATCCGCTGTCCTTTTCAGAGCCACGATCTATACGCGTTGAACGGTGAAAAAGATATAACGAAGAACATTCAACCCGCGCTTATTCGTTACGGCACACGGTGCAGACGTCGACGTTTGCAAAATTGGAACACGTATATTCACACTTTGCAAACAATAGAGAGCTACGGCTGAAGGGTTAATCGCGTAATTAATCACCGGTCAACGCTATCGTTAATGTTATCTCTGGCAGTTGGCTGTTCACCCGGCAACAATCTTAATAATATCCTGGCGCGGTTCGAGTTGGCGCGATAAAATACCGAGCAATCGGCACGTCGATTATCTCGTGGAGGATCCACGATCTGGAGGATGGAGGATTCAGGCGATCCAGCGAGAGCTTCCTCGAAGTTAGCCGGGAAGAGAGACGAGCGACGAATTTCAGGCGATCCAGCGAGAGCTTCCTCGAAGTTAGCCGGGATCTACGAGCAGCTGCGCGGCAGCACACGATCTGGAGGATGGAGGATTCAGGCGATCCAGCGAGAGCTTCCTCGAAGTTAGCCGGGATCTACGAGCAGCTGCGCGGCAGCGATCTACGCGATCCGACGGCAAGATCGCGCGATCTCTCGTCTTCTCGTTCGCGCCTTCTCGTTACTCGTGACCGCCACTTGCTTTCTTTCCTTCCCCGTGGACGATTGTGGTCCATCGAATCGGAGGCACACCGGTCACCAGCCGGGATCGCGAGAAGCGGAAGGTTTAGCGCGGATAAGCGAAGCGAAACGACATGCAAACAGAGTCAAGGGAAAAGTAGCGGAAAGCCGTTGTTGGTACGTGCTAGGACGACGAACGCGTATCGTGGCGGTTGGCAGACGGGTTAATCGCGTAGACGATTCGTCGAGGGTGTCATAGTGGAGCACGGGGAGAAAAGGCTGCGTAGGTATGATCCGTAGACGTAGACCGGTTGGCTAGGAGTCTCGGTCGCGAGATTTCTCGCGTTTAAATCGGCAAAGGGGAAAGAAAGGCGCGCGCGCACGATGGACGCGAAGGGGAATTGGGAATTTATCTCGGAACAGAGGAAAAGTTAATCGCGACAGGATCTCGAGCGGGCCCGGGGTTCGACGTTTCGCGGCCAACACCGTCGACGTTGGCTCCGGCGCGATATACCCGGAGGCCACTCGAGCCACATTCGAGTGGTGACAAGAAACTTAATAGCCGGTCTTGAAATACAGGTTTCGACGTGTCGCTCGTAAAGATCGATTATCACCGAGTGTTTAGATCGGCGCCAATACCGGTAGCCGCGCGCTGCCGTGCACCGAGAGGCGGTTAACCGATCCGAACCGAGGAAAAAAGTCTCTTCGCGCGTAGCTATGCACGCGCGTAGGTATACATCCTCGCGTCGCGTTCGGTCCATAAAGAAATTCCGTGGAGAACCGATAAGAGGAGCGGAGTGGTATCGCGGGACCAGGCTGGGTAGTCGGCGACGACAAATCACCGGGGATCTGGTCCCGGCCGTATCGACGAGGAGAGACACCTCCGGGAACCGTCTACGCGAGGCCAGCAACGTCGAGGAAAGCGACGACGCGCAGAGGCGTCGAGGCGATAACGTTACCTGACGGTGGTGGCGGTGGATGATGGTGATGGTGATGGTGGTGATGATGGTATCCGAGCGTATGCGATGGCGGTGGATAAACCGTTCCCCAGATGCAGGGCGCAGCCGCAGCGGCCGCCACCTGTTGCTGATGATGGTGGTGGTGATGTTGCTGCTGCTGTTGTTGTTGCTGCTGCTGCTGTTGTTGCTGGTGCTGTTGCTGTTGCTGCTGCTGCTGTTGTTGCTGCTGCTGCTGCTGCTGCTGCAGGAGCTGTTGTACCTGAGCGATGTCTACGAATTCCTGTAACTCGCCGTCGGGCTCCGGGCCGGTTTCGCGGAGCCGGCCCTCCGACGACGAGGGCACCACCGCGAACGGGTTGCCGCTGTTGTGCTGCAAGTGGTCGAAACCCGCGAGCGGATTCGCGGGCTCGTAATTGCTGCGCCCGGTCGTGTGTTCGCGGCGCATCGCCAGTGCCAGCATCTTTTCAACCTGTCGCGCCGCCGGCCCTCGTCGCGGTGCCAGTCGTCCACGTGCTCTTGCTCCTCTTGCCTTCTTTCCAACGCTCGCCAACCACCGACGGCACACGATACTCCTTTTCTCTCCTCGACGACCACCACCACGGCGACGACCACGACGACGACCACGACGACGACCACGACGACGACCACGACGAGAAGGATGAGGACGAGGACGAGGACGATAGCAACGACAAAGAGCGCGATAACGAAGAGGAGGCCAGACTATCGCACATGTCACGCGACGTCACCGACGACGCGAGCGTCACCGTCGCGTCCGGCTGGTCTCTCTCTCTCTCTCTCTCTCTAAGTATCTCTGTGTGCCTTTGTGTGTGCGTATCGATGCTTGCGACGGGCGATGCTAACGTAGAGGACAGAAAGGACCGACGACGACGACGGCGACGGCGACGGCGACGGCGACGATGACGACGATGACCAGTAGCAGGAAATAGATGGTTGAACGTGGTCGAATCACTGTCGCGATCGATCGATTATTCGCGAATACGAGACACTCGCGGAAGCGTTGGACAGGCCTTGAGCCACGGACAGCACCCGTTCGGGATTTGTTCGGCGTTTCCACTCGCGGAGACGAGCGATAAGAGGAGGATTTTCACGGGCGTTCGGTGTCGGAACGAAATCGTCCGGTCCGTCGAAATATACTCTTTTTCTCTGGTTTGCTTTGGCCACTCGGACGACAGGTAGAAAGCGCGGCACTACCGGTGGATCAAATTTCTCTCGGAGAAGCCGACCAGGAGGAGAAGAAGAAAGTGTCGGAGAAATCTTTGCGCGACACGGCGTGGTCTTCCGAAAACTCGATGCAACTTTTTCCACGCGTGCAACTTTTCCGAGCGTCCGACAGGTTGAAAGCGTTGGATGTCCTCCGTTGGCGATCCGATGGTAACGACTATCCTCCCCATAGACGGTGCGCGCAAAGGTGGCGACTCGGTCACTGGTCGGTGATTTCGAAATCGCGCGCTACGGTCGGAAGTCGAACAGTTGGCTCGTAGTTCGCGCCCGATAAACCGACGTACCGGCGCGCGTGCTGCCCGGTATCGTATCACTGGAGGATCCTGCTCTTTCTCGCTCTGTTCGTCCTCTTCTCCTCCTCCTCTTCTTCTTCCACACCGACTCGGTTCTCCCTTCCTCTCGTACGACCGGCCTGCCGCCGCACGCCGGCGTCTCTGTCGCGCTCGCCGAGCGTTTTCCGGTCTGGATCACCACGGCAGACTCCCCCCGTGGTTCGCTGCTCTCCTCTTTTCCCGCGTGCAACGCGGATCCCACCACCCGTTCTCTCCGTGCTCCGGCAGACGTTCGCGCTCGAGGAGAAACGACGTCGGGAAGACGACGTTCGTCGTGTGGACGGTCTGGAGCCGGCGAGGCAGCCAAAGGGGTTCGCGATGGTCCGCGGTAGACTAATAAAGAGCGGCTCGCGCGGGAAGTGGTCGGTCGCCTCGAGAGAGCGCTCGCGCGCGCGGAGAGAGCGCGCGAGGAGGCTGCTGCCGCGGCTGCTGCTGGTGCTCCTGGTGGTGTTGCTGCGGGTGGCGGTGACGGTGGCGGTGGCGGTGACGGCGGCGGCGATCCTCGCGACCGGCGAGACGAGATTCGCTGGCGTCACGTGTCGTCGACATCACCCCGTGCATACTCCCGATACTGTTCACGCTGCTCACCTATACGCCAGCCTCCCCTCCTTCGTTCTTCTTCCTCGAGACGCCCTGATCCTCCTCCGCCTCCGCCGCCGCCGCCGCCGCCGCCGTCGCCTCTGCCTCGCCTCTGCCTCGCCTCCTCTTCTCTTCTTCTCTTTCTCCGCGCGCACCGCCATCCTCGTCTCCACCGCTCCTCTCCGATCATCCGTCTCTCCCGCGTGTCTCTCCGCGATTTCCATTCATTCCTTTCCCCCGCCCTTGCTCCCGCCTCGCCGCTGCCCCTCCTCTACCATCGTGACACCTCGTCCCTCTCTCTCTCTCTCTCTTTCTCTCTTGCTC